ATATTGAATATAAATGGAGAATCTCAATTGAGTTTTATTTAAACAATTTATAAGAAACATTTAATCCGATTCTTAATATTTATTTATTGATTGATTTATTGCATGCCAAATAAGCAGCAAAGTCATAGTTGAAATTTAAAAATATATTTTTTTTCTTACAGTGATAAAATATAGCTATTATACGAGCAATTGCAGGTTGATAATTGATAAATATTATAACATTCCTTAAGTCTTTTTTAAAATGTCCATTAATGAATTTTCTGAATAAAGCTGTTGATTCTTAATAGTAGAAAAACCATGAAGAGGCTTTATTTACTCGCCAAATCCCATTCGGTGTTTGAAGTGTTCATTTTGGACCCTGCACACACACATTGCTCGTTCACTGCTGCTCTCTGTCATCTTTCCTTAGACTTTAATGCTGTTTTTTTCTTTCTGCAGTTCCAATGGATGTCTGTGTGCTGAATCAAACGGTTATTGCGGTAAAGACGTTGTGTTAACATACAGAATACTAATGTGCCATGTGCAGATGTCTTGGCGCATAACAGATTGACTTTGGGGTCTTACTCCGTGTGTGTGTGAGTAGGCTGGAGAGCGAGTGATGGTGGATGTGTGCACACACTGCGAGTGTGTGAAAGATAAGAGGAGTTATCGGCTCTCTTGCAGGAAGATGAGCTGCTCCCCCTGCTCAGAGGTAAAACCCTCACTCTGAAGATTATTAAAGGGGTAGTTCACCCAAAAAAATGACAATTCTCTCACTCAATTACTCACCCTCATGTCGTTTAAAACCCGTATGACTTTCTTTCATCCATAAAGCACAAAAGCAGATGTTTTGCTCATGTTTGGAGACATCCAAAGCTGCTTTTGCATGCAAGGAGCATAACTTTTAAAAAGCAGCTCTTCGATTTCATTCACATTTTTATGTTGGATATGCTGCACCAAAATGTGTCAGGTTTGACGTCCATAAAGCCAAACGGCATGGTTCTCAAACGCCTTTTGAATAAGAAAATGAGATGGAAAAAAACAGTCATTAAATATGACATGATGAGTCTTCATTTCTATGGAAACAGTCTCTAAAAAGGACTGTCAGCCCTGTATGTATGAATACAGTAACGTGTGTTTTGTTTTATAGGGATATACGCTGGAGCCCATACCTAATGCTTGCTGTGGCCGTTGTGTAGCAACTGAATGTAGCATCCGACGACCTGACAGACAGCTGGTCACTCTGAAAGTAATAAATATGTGCAGACAGAGTCATGGGTCAATGTCACAATAGCCAGAATAATCAGTGTGGAAGATACAGGTTTGAATCCCCCCTCTCACCAATAACTACCTCTACGTGCCAATGAACATGGTTAATGGCCAAAAGAATAAAACAGCCATATGTTTAGCAAGCTTAAGATCTGCAGCTTTGCTTGGAAGAACTGTTTCAAACATTTCACATGCACCCATGAAGTATATACACTACCATTTAAAATAAATACAAACTTTTATTCATCAAGGACCCATTGAACTGATCAGAAGTGACAGTAAAGACATTTATAATGTTACAACATATTTCTATTTTAAATAAACTCTCTTCTCTGGTACTTTCTATTCATCAGAGAATCCTGAAAAAAATTTTTCCACACAAATATTAAGAGATTATTATTATTATTATTATTGATCACAGGAATAAATTATATCTTAAAATAGGAAAACAATAATTTAAGTTGTAATATTTCACAATATTACTGTTTTTACTATATTTTTTATCAAATAAATGCAGCCTTTGTGAGAAAAGGCAATTCAAAAATGTTTAAAAATATAACTGACCCCAGACCTTTGAATAGTTGTATATATTATCACTGTTGATCAATCATTTAAGAAAACTACAGGAAAAACAAACCAAAATGCAGAAAGTGAAGCGATCTGCAGTCTAAATTTAAAAATCAATTATTAACGCTTAAGGAGTCATATGAAACCATCTTCTGCCGTGAGCCGGTAGTTTGAGACCCCTGCTGTAAATGCTCCAGATGTTCTATTGATTTTCAGATAGTGTCATAAATGTTTACATTTGTGTGTGTGTTCAGGCAAATACAACACGTACAGATGGCTGCACTAAACACACATGCAGTGTGAATAAGGATGAAGAACTGGTGCTGGAGACGCTTGTGACAACATGTCCCCCGTTTGACCGTAAACGCTGTCTGGAACATGGGGTACACACACACAGACACACTTTACTTTGCTAATCCTAGACCAACATTGCTATCAAACGATTGCATGCCAAACTCCATTCCTAATCCTAAATCTACCAAACCCTAAACACCAATCCAGGAACATATTCTACTTCTAATAAACCACATTTATTGTGTTGCACAATAATGAAAGTGAAACAATGTATTCTTTATCCACAGGGTAAAATAAGCCAGATTGGAGACACCTGCTGTGAGATGTGTAAGAACAACCACCAAAACCATCATTCATACATGCTGCTCACTTTATAAACTCCATCCTATGGCTGCACGATTAACTGAAATAAAACTGAAATCGCAATATGGATTAGTGAGATTATCAAAGACAGCCACTTAATTAAATATATGTGTCCCTGGACCACAAAACCAGTCTGAAGTCGCTGAGGTATATTTGTAGCAATAGCCAAAAATACATTGTATGGGTCAAAATGATTGATTTTTCTTTTATGCCAAAAAGTAAGATCTTTAGATCATGTTCCATGAAGATATTTTGTAAATTTCCTACTGTAAATATATTAAAACTTAATTTTTTATTAGTAATATGCATGGCTAAGAACTTCATTTGGACAACTTTAAAGGCGATTTTCTCAATATTT